CTCATGCAGCTCTGCACACCACACGTCCTTTCGCTCACAGATATGGCTGATCATTGAGCCATCACTTAGTATTTATGGTGGCCCCATGTTGTGCCTTGGTGGCGCTATGGGTGGGGCCCAGGGAAAGCCAAGGGAACTGGTGTTAGCTGGATAATCTCTCCCTTACAGCCACCCCTCCAAGCAGATATTGTCATCGCTGCATTATATATGATAGCCAAAATGGTCAGTCCCTTGCCCAGAGCCAGTCAGCTTCTCTGCGCTACATCTGGATAAATTGTAACCTGGTTGGCAAGGTCCACACTCCCCTGGATTTTCCCAACAGTTCCCAGTATGACTCTGGGTCCAGCGCAGTAGAGTATGCAAGTTGGGGATGGGGAGGCACAAGAAGCAAGGACTCGCAAAGGCATGAAGCACAGTGAAGTGTGACCCAGCTAGTGGATGAGCACGAGGGTCACCCTGATTGGGAACCTGGAACATTCAGAAGGAGACCAGGTGGGAAGTCATAGGTGGCTGGCCCAGGACCGGCCCACCTATTGCCCCTGGTGCAGTGTCCCCCTGGCTCTCTCCATCCCAGCCACCTCTGCCTTATACATGGGTCATTATGAAAGTTTTGAGATACACAAAAACCAAGAAACATAATGTCCATGCAGGTAGAAACAAATGAAGCTCTCTCAGCAACACCTACAAGCTGAGCAAGTGGAAACTTGCACAGGTGAGTAAGAAAGGATGCTGTCAGCTGTGCTCCTTGGAAGTGAAATGTGGACCATAACAGTCTGTCTCAAAACTTTTGTAGTGACCCACTGTTCCTCTAGTGAGCTCTTTTCCCACCCAGGCATCTGGGTATCTGACCTCTTCGGCCTGGAACATGTGTCTGACACTGCCTTTATTCTCTCCTCCCTCCCTCCTCTTCCCTTTCCAACTTCTATCTTTCTCCTCCCTTCTTCCCCTCCTTCTCTCTTTTCTCTCTCACCTTCCTCTCTCCTCTCCTCCTTTCTTCTCTTCTAGTCTAGCAAACCCTACCCATGACTTCCAACCCGTGTTTTCCTGCTCCAGGGTTACCCACACACACACACAGGGAGGCCTTCCACAATCCACCGAGTAGAGTACGTTTTCCTCTCCTGCTCCTGGCGTCTCTCTGATCCCAGGCCTCAGGGTACCCGTAGGCATGATCATTGCTTCTTGTTCAATACCTCTTTGCCCCGTTAGATTCCAAGCTCCATGAGAGCAAGAACAACGTTTTTCTTCTTCACCTTCGTAGAGCCTGGCAGGCAGGAGCTAGGAGATACCCGTGACTGTTTGGGAAGTGAGCGGACACTCGGCCAGGCACTGTTCGTGGCATTGCCACACATTGTAGTCTCCTATGCATATGTGAAATTTGTTCATTTATTTTCATCCTTATGAACTGTAAACTCCATAAAGACAAAGATTAGGCATGTCTTTTCACCTAGTAGCATTTTCAGTATCTAATAATAAATATTCATTATAATGAATGAATTATATTCCGTACAAACAAAAAGCCATAACACCTGCACAATCACCAACTACTTTCTCACCATACCGACTGTCCTCAATTCCTCCTTGATAAAACGTAGGGATTTTCTTATCATCAGACTTGGATGATTGTTGTCTAGTCACTGACTAGATGTGAGCATGGATTTTAGATTTTTTCCAATAAGGGCCACCATAATTCACTTTTCTGTATCTATCCCTTGAGTAATCTTCTCCCACATTCACTCTGGACTCCACCCCAGGACCAGAGTGTGCAGGATGAGAGTGAGACTCAGAAGGGCTCGAGGGTTGGGGTTCCCGTCTCGTGCTGCATGGGAGGCTCAAACCCACTCTGTTAATGGGCCACACTGCCCTGTGGGGTGAAGAGAAGCCACTAGGAGGAGGAAGGAGGCACCTGGCTGACCCTTTGCCAGCCCACAGACATGCAGGTGTGACCATCCTGCATCCTACAGCTGCCTGACCAGTGACCAGTCCTACTATGGGCTGACCCAGCTCACCCCCAAATTCAAATGTCAGAGCCCCATCCCTCAGCGCTCCCAGCTTCTGCCCCATTTGGAGATTGGCTCTTTACAGACATAATAGAGTTGAAATTTGCTTGTGAGGGTGAGCTAAAATCCTGTGTGAGAAGGAGAAAAGTGGACATGGCCACAGGGAGGATGCCACGTGAGAAGGAAGACGGCCACCGTCATGCCAAAGAGAGGGGCCCTGGGAAGAGCCCCCACCTAGCCCTCTGAAGGGATCAACCCTGCCAACCCTGTGATCTCAGACTGCTCGTGTCCAGAACTGCCAGACAGTATGTTTCTGCTGTTTTGGTCCATTGTGTGCTACTTTGTCCTGAAAACCCCAGAAAATTAGTACAGGTCCAGACCAAAGTGACTGAGCAGGAGGCACACACAACAGTGACTACATGCAGTGGTTACTGCTCTGAGCCCCTAATGCAGCAAAAGCTCATTAATAAAGTGGGTAAACCATTTGAACCCCTCTAAGCTTCAGTTTTCACAGTGACAAAATGGGATTAAACGCATTTTCTTCTCATGGTTATTAGGAAGATTAAGTAGGATAATGCTTGGGAGTTGCTTAGCACGGCACCTTACACAATTAGTATTCAGTGATCACGTATAATGTGCCAGCTCTGGGGTGTGTGTAAGTCAAAGCCAGAATTATTTACCCCAGAAATATAAATTAACACATTTAAATGTATTTTAAATAATGTTGTAGTTTATTGTGGAATTCAACATAAATTTACGTGAAACCAGAGGACTAAGGACCCAGCAGGTGCTCTGCAAGGCCAGTTTAAATGGGCCGAGGTGAAGGCAGAAAGAAATTAAAATATGTTGCACACCTAAGATGTGCCCGAACCATTGGTAGTATGCCTTTATTTTTTTGTTCTTCATTTATCAGAATGTTTGTAAAATCTAAGTATTGTTATCCCTTAATCACAATTGAAGAAATACGTTTCCTCAATTAAAGAAATATTACTATCTTCAACTATTGTTCAATTTTTTTTAAATGTTTCTAGAATATAAACAGAATACTACTCAAACTACTTAAAAATATAGTGGAATGTGCCCAAGGTCACACAACTAGCAATAGATGCAGCAGTCTGCAAGTTCTGTCCGGGACTGGACTGCTGAGGGGTTTGGTCCAGGAGCCTCAGGTGGGCTCAAGGAGCCACTGCAACTTCAGGACCCCAGACCCAAGTCCCAGGATGCAGGGGAGGTGAGGCTGGCAAGGCCCCTTCCTGCTCAGTGCTGCCCCAAGTCTCCTGGATTTGCTCTGGTCATTGTGAAGTGCCGTGAGGACAACCTGCGTCTCTGAGGACGCTCTGTGGGCTGGGAGAGCTTGTCCTCCTGGATTTCATCTGTCACACTGCAACTCAAAAACGGAAGTCCTGCCTGCCCTCAGGTCAGAGCCCCCAGGTCTGTGGCTGCGCTTACAGGAAACCTAACCCGAGGCAGCAAACCGGACAGGAGGTTTCCTGCTGAGGAGCAGGCAGGGCGCTGGGAACATTCAAACCACTGCCTCGCGGTCACCAGCTCCGACCTCTCTGCAACGCTGCTTGGCCTCCTGAGAGATGGACATCTCAGCCTGGGCCTATGATGCTGTCCAAGATGTTCAGGTAAACTGCAGCCCAGCTTCGTCTGCGGGCATCTCACGGGCATCTCACAGTCATCTCGCTGCTGTGATGATCTTTAGGAAAGAGCTACACCCCAAGCAAAAAGCATCTTCCACAGGGATGCTGGGACTTCCAGGCACAGGGATGCTGGGACTTCCAGGCACAGGGATGCTGGGACTTCCAGCCACAGGGATGCTGGGACTTCCCACAGCACCAGAGGAGAAAGGAAAGCCAGAAGGGATTGAGACACCCACCCACAAAAAATCAACAGATCAAATGTTCTCAATCCTTTCTTCCTGGCGCTTCACTCCCTGACCATTAGCCACAAAAATCTCAAGAGCAGGCCGGCTGCTGGCCTTCCCAGCTGACCTTCACCAGGACGGCCCCCCAGAAAGGCAGCTTCAATTCAAAGTAGGTCCAAGTCAAAGTTAACTTCTCTTTGAAATATTATATATTTTTAACTTTTTCTAAATTAACACAGCTTTCTTTCTGCTGTGGTGCGAAGGGAGTATAGATTAGGAGTCCTGCAGACATTCTTGTACTCACAGGGGTGAGATGACCCAGGGTACGATTTCTTCTCCTGTTCTTGAAGGCAATTGCGCTTTCTCTCCTGAGGGCCTGGAGTTGTTCATGTGCTGCTTTCAACATAGTACTGAGTGCTCGGGGTGCCTGCTTTTCCATTCTTGAGACGCTTAGGAGAATGTTCTCCAAATCCACCCAGATAAATACAAACAGTGTAAAGTGTCCATCTTTTTGTGGCTGGGTAATACTCCATGGTGCACATACACCACAGTTCATTAATCCATGTATGGGATGATGGCACTTGGCCTACTTCATTTCTTTGCGATTGTGAATTGAACTGCTATAAACATTCAAATGCAAATGGCTTTATGCATTTATGATTTTTTTTTCTTCGGGGTAGATACCTAGGTAATAGGATTGCAGGATCGAATGAGAGGTTGACTTTTAGTTCTTTGGATATTGTCCATACTTCTTCCCAAAAAGGCTGTACTAGTTTGCAATCCCACCAACCGTGTGCCCCTTTCTCTGCACCCACACCAGCCTCTGCAGCTTTGGGACCTCGTGATGTGAGCTATTCTTACAGGTGTTAGGTGAGATCTCAAGGTGGTTTTAATTTGTATTTCCCTGATGGTTATGGATAATGAGCATTTTTTTCATGTGTTTGTTGACCATTCATTTGTCTTCTTGAGAAAAAGTTCTGTTGATGTCTCTTGCCCAATGATCAATGGGATCGTTTTCTCTTTTCTTGTTGATTTGCTTGAGTTCTTTGGAGATTCCAGTTGTTAGCCCTTTGTCTGATTGGCAACACGTACAAGACCATAAACAAGACCGTTTCAAAACCAAAGAATATTTTTCACTTTTGTGTATATTTTCACTGTTTGCTTTGCTGATTGTGTTCTTAGCTGTGCGGAAGCTTGTTAACTTGATCAGGACTTATTTATTTATTTTTGTTGTTGCTACACTTGCCAATGGTATCTTCTTCTTCATAAAACCTTTCCCAGAGCTGATATCATTAAGAGGTTCGCCCACACTTTCCTCTAGAGTTTTTAATCATTTTATGCATTAAATTTAAATCTTCTGAGAATCTTAAGATAAAATGTGCCCTCAAGAGGCAGAAAGGGCAACTGGCCGTTTATTTAATTTTGCTTCTTGCCAGTTGGTCTATGTGCATTAACTTAATCCTCACACACAGTCTCGAGAGTTAAGTCTTACTTCCCTTGGTTTACACTGGAGGAGCTTCGTGGTCTAAGTAATGTGTCCAAGGTTGTCCATCACTAACATCGGTCACAGAATTCAAAACTAAGCTGATTTTTGCCTGAGACTGACTGACCCGAATGGTGAGCTGTGTGTGTTTGCAGCTTCACAGAGCTCATGCTTGAGTCCACTGGGTGGCCTTTGATCCTGTCCATCTTAATGGTGGCATTTCTCTCCTCTCTCCATGGAGTCCTCCCAGAAGACTCCATGAACAAGACCATTTCAAAACCAAAGCTCATAATTTTCTGTGCCATTGGGTCAGCTCTGGCCTTAACCCCAGGGGATTCTGTTTCCTGGTCGCTGTGCCTGAGTCAGGGCTTTCTTGGAAAGACTGGAGGATTTGATGCTACTTGAGTTGGTCTGGATCCTAATGTGATACTTCATCCCTGGTCCGCAGTTCCCACGTCTTTGTAATGGAGCAAGATCACATCAGGCTTGTAGTGACAATTATTTGGCCTCCAATATAATGTGATATTATATTAAATGAAATACGGGCTCGGTGGTTAGGGCGCTGGCCACATACACCAAGGCTGAGGGGTTTGAACCCATAACAATGACAACTGCAAAAACAACAACAACAACAAAAATAGCCGAGTGTTGTGGCAGGCAACTGTAGTCCCAGCTACTTGGAGGCTGAGGCAAGAGAATCGTTTAACCCCAAGAGTCTGAGGTTGCTATGAGCTGTGATGCCACAGCACTCTACCCAGGGTGACCGAGTGAGACTCTGTCTCAAAAATATATATATACAGTGTTTCTTTAACACTTTCTAGGCATTCAATAAATGCTAGCTTCTTTCTCCATTCTCTTCCTTTCCTCCCCCCAAATCAGCTTTGACCTTGTTCACAAAACTTACTCGTAATCACCATGGAATTTATAAATGCACATAAATCTCTGAGTATTGACTTTCAACAATCTTATTAGACAATAGTGATATGCCCGGCACAGTCTGCAAGGCCTACGAATGTGTATGTCCTTGTTTAATGATCTTAACAACTTACTGAAGTAGGCAGGGCATAGGTGAGACGTTCAGAAGATGTTGAAGCCAATGCTCAGAGAAGTTGACGAGGACAAAACAGGGCTTTGAGATTAGTCAGACCTGGATGTGAACCCAGCGTGTGACTCTGCTGTGTGTCTTTGGGTAAGTGGCTTAACTTTGATGTTCCCTTGGCTCCTGTTTGTGTGTGATTTGAAGCTGGGTAGGACGTGTATTTTGAGGGTTGCTGCGGGAATCAGAGTGAAGGCGCAAATAGTGAGTGAGTGAGTGAAGGGCGGCCGATCAGCGCTGTGCCCCAGTCACGCAGGGAGCAGCAGAGCTGGGTCTGGAAGTTTCCTTTTCTGCATCCTACTCCGTAAAGCATCCACCATCACAAGTATCTACCAATATCTGAGTTCTGGAAAGTTCTTCCAGGCTATCTGTACCCCTCCACGCATGAGACAGACATTTAATGTTCAAAGGGGCTAAATTATTAAACAGAGAGATGAGTACTTGAATCTAAATTATATTTAATATTACGAACAGATAGAACCAAACTGGCCTGTGAGTTTGCAAAGTATGTTACCAATTAGACTGAGAAGCATCAGGTTAAATTATCAGCAACTTGATAAAGAAAAAATAACCACAAACCACAAAACATAGAATTGTGTAAAAGCTATCACAGGACTGTGTTCTGGTGTTTTCTACCTCTGTTACTTTTGTGAGGGGAATGCTGTGGGAATTATCATTGGCATTATTCTGCTTAATTTTAACCAGCCCCCCGCCCCGAACAGCAAATGACTTGTGGATTGCATTTGAGTGCCTACCATGGGCAACAACTACTGGCTGTTTCTCGTCCTCATAGCAGCTGTGCTTGTTCCTACTCTATAGAGAGGATGCTGAGGCTCAGACCCGATGCGTCCCACACAGTGAATGGGAGCGGAGGCAGAAAAGAGACCCAGGTCTGCCCGAGTCCCCAGTCCTTGCCCTTCTCAGGGTGCTCAGCAGTACCCTGATGTCAATACCGCAGTGACAGTCACCATTTGCCTTCAAACTAGCCAGCAGTATTTTAGGAACCCCAGGGGTACCATGAGTATAAGTAAAATAGGTATGTGGGTTTGTTTTAATTTCATTGTTGGTGCTCATTGCAACAGACACCAGACACCTGTGCATGAGACAGCACACCCTCTGTTTGAGCAGAGCTGTGCTTTGCCAGGTGAGCTGATGTGAGCCAAGAGAGTGGACAAACACAAAGTCAATAGCCATGTGTTTACTTCATAACCCTTTAATTGTGGCAGGTTATCTGTTGAATTTAGTGTGAGATAAAGATGAGAGCTGGCTAACGCCCCAGGCTCCACCTCTGAGGGCCTTGTACCTTGGGGAGTGCTACAGAGCTGCATTCCATCACTAGGCTGGCAGGTGTGGAAGGCCAAGGTCATCCGGGCAGTCGGTGCTGGTGGCACTCAGGGAGTCACCCCACTCTGGCATTCCAGCCTATGGACCCCCTTTCATGATCTTGTCCCAGTATACACGAGAGGTAAGCTCAGGCAACCAGCATGTTCCCTTCCAGGAGGCAAACACAGGCAGGAAACTGACTTGCTGTCAGGAGGGAGCTTGCTGAGCACTGAGGCAGAGCCCTGACATTGCAGCAGCTGAATTCGCGGAGCTCAGTGGGCACCTGGGAGCCAGTCGGCCCCATACCCACTTGTAGATATTTGCAGAGCAGGCCACCCTCCCTCATGACCTGCTCCCCCTCTCTGCCAGCACACACAGGACACCTCCACACCCTGCCCACCCCGGACCCCTGTTCTGTGTCCAGCTTGCCCACTGCCCCACCCTGTCCAGTCTTTGAGAAATGGGCATCCTGGACTGATCCTTCTCAGCATTGTGGCTGTAGGCAAAAAAGACATTTCACGTCTCAGAACCTCTCATTGTCCTTTAAAAGAAATTAAAATACGTGCTCTTCAAATGCCTGGTGAGAGATGAGGCTCAGTACACGGAAACCACATGTGATGGTGCCCAGCAGTTATTAACTGTGGAGAACGTGGTGGTGGCCGTCATCGTTGTTGGCACCGTTGTCACGGGTTTATTTTATCTGTTCTACAGGCCACTGGATCCTTGGCCCTGTGTCCCTTCTTAAGAATTTTGACCTGAAGAAGTTCTGTGTTGAAATGGGGATGGAGAACTAACCTCCTCCTAGTCTCATTTAGTTTTGCCATTCACCTGTCAAAGCCTTTCTGATATTTCACAACTC